ACACGCACACGCACACGCACACGCACACGCACACGCACACGCACACGCACACGCACACGCACACGCACACGCACACGCACACGCACACGCACGGCAATATAGTTATTTGCAGAAACAGTTGTACCGGTGCCGCGGGGCCCGTGAAGCCCGAGGCCGGAGTCTGACGCAAAGCCCCCACGACGCCCCCTCCGTCACAGTGCCTCTCTCCTTCTCCCCTTCTCGCGCCCTCAGCGACGCCACGCACGCCCTCTCCACCTCAGCAAACAAAAAAAAAGCCGGCAAACTAAACTAAAACCTCTCGCCTGTACACATGGGCGCAAACTGGCGGCCGCAACACAGAACACCTCACCCGCAACGCAGACACGAGGAGTACCAAAAAAAAAAAAAGGAAGTGAGCAGGGCCCTACTCCGCGTCATTGGCTGCGGAGGGCTGGCCGGACAGCCGGTGCGGCTTCACCACGAAGTGCTCCAGCACTTCGGCCACCGACTCGTTCCCGTCCGACTGCACCGGTTGCCACCGACTCGGCCTCTCGCGCAAATGCGGCGGGAGGCGCCCCTTCTCCGGGCTCAGGAACTCGGCAACATGCCGTGCGTCACGCCTCCACACCTTCGGCACGCGCCTCTCCGCCACAACGTAACCGTGCAGCCGTCTTCGCCGGTCGATGCTGAAGCGGATGAAGTGCTTGTAATCCTCTATCTGAAAGGAGGAATACGCCGCATCGTACATGAACCCAAAGAACTGGACCGACACAAACAGAAACAACCCAACTACAAACGAGATGAGAGGGGTCGCCAGCAGCCAGTAAATCAGGAGGAGATGAAGGTAGTACAGGAATATGTGCAGACGGTCAGTCGACGAAGAAAAGGTGCCCGTCACGTTCATACTGACTTGATGCGATAGATACGCCAGATTCTCCATGACATCCAAGCCGCGCAGCAAAATACAGCCGCCCTCAACAAGCCAGCTGCCGTGCGCCGCGAGCTGCATCCTCCCGAGCGCAGCGGCAACCACGTGGTCCTCCCCAAGCACCTCCCGCGTGCGAACCAGCGCGGTGTCAGCGGCACTGCGCACCTGAACCTCCATCATACTGCCCCAGTGCCCCCGCGTCGACAGGAGCATGTGGCGGTTTGTCATGTACATAAGCGTGGTGTGCACCACGGCCAGCACGCCCGTGGAGCAGAGCACCACAAGCAGCGTCCAGTACGAAGCGTAGAAGAGACGAAATACTGCGCCCCTCTGCTCCGCCCCACCGGAGAAAAAGACTGCGAAAACGAACGTGAGAATAATCAACGACACAACCGCCTTCTCAAACGTGAAGAGGGTCAGATCGAGCGTGAGGCTAACAACGCACGCAGCGTACTGTGGAAGCCCCGTGACCTCCCGCATGCGTTCGTCCTGCATCGTCAGCGGAAGGGCAGACACGATGAGACCGAAGCTCAGAAACCCCGCGATGACGTCAAACTTCCAGTTGATGAGGCGAAAACCAACAAGACGAGCGAGAATCGACGTCAGCACGTTCCGTGACGGAAACGCCGATGACCGCCTGTACTCGGTTCCCTGGGTCACGACAAGCGCATTGCGCATGCCGTGCAGAAAGGCACCACCACCGCCACTCACAACAAGCGTCGGGGCATCGGAGAGAGCGTCGGCAGGCGTGTGCCGTGTGTAGTGGTGAATGTCCCCGCACAGCCGCAGCCGCAGCCGTGTCCCGAGGGCCTCGATCACCCTGTTCAATTGCGGCTGCATCGGCGAGGTGCGGGTGCCTTCCATGGCTTCATATACCCACGCGGGCTCGTGGCAAGTCACGATGGCGCACGCCTCGTCGTTGAGGTTCACCTCAATGAACTTCAAGAAGTAATTGCGCTGCTCGCAGTCGATGTCAGCGATGCTCCCGGTGTCCCCACAGAAAACATACCAGTTGTGTGGGAGCGTCAAAATAAAGAAGGAGCTCCGCTGCGGCATCAGCCATCCCCCAAGCCACTTCTCCGCTACAATGTACTTTTTGAACGTCACGAGGCCGTCAAGCCAGTCGTGGTTGCCCGGAATGGCGAAAAGAAGCGGCACACTGCGCAGCACATCTTCGTCGCTGTAGCCGCCGCCCACCAAGCCGCCGCGGCGGACCATCGCATCCACCCTTGGCGCGGGCAGCATGCTCACGTGTGCCTCGTCACCGTTTGCCGCGCTGGGCACCACCACCTCACTGTACCGCTGCTTCACCAGCCTGCGCAGTTCGGCGTTCCCCCCGAGTGCATCCTCGTAGGGCCCCCGCAGCCGCGTTCCATACGTCTCGTCCGTGGGGTTCGGGTACGCCAAGTCCCCGCCGATGAGCACGAAAGACGCACGCGGGAGGTAGTGTGAGTTGCTCGGCCTGTAGTCGTCCAGCGTGAGCGACAATCGGTCCGCCGCCGCCTTGGTGCCGGCTTCCGGCACCGATGTACGGCGCGAAAACGGCGGCGGCGGGGACAACGAAGGCGTGGCGCGGGTCCGCCTGGAAAACGGCGCCAGCGTGGTGCGCCGGTGTCCTTCCCGCCTCCGCGAGTTCTTCGCACCCGCCGTTGTGGGCAGCAGCAGCGCCGGCTGCGCCATCAGCCGGGCCATCTCATACGTCGAGTTGAAGCCGTCGCCAACGTCCCCAACGAAGTCAAACCACACGCCGACCTCCTCTTCGGCGAGGGGCCCCGCACGCTTCGCCTCGCCCGCGGCGGCGCCGAAGACGGACCGCGAGGAGCTCGCGTCGCTCGTCGGGTTCGATGCCGCGCCACCTCGGTGCTCGAAGGAAAGGTGGAAGACTTTGGGGGCGGCGTGCAGCTCCAGGCCGCGCTGGTCAAACGTCAAGAAATTCAGCACCGCGCCCAGCGCCGCCTGCGCCGCCGTGCCCGCAATAAAAGTCGAGAACCACGGCACCATGCCGGGCCGGTTCACGGGGTGGACGCTGGCCAGCAGCGACTGCACCTCCTTCGGGGTCGCGGCGAAGCTCCGGCCGCGGGCCTCCGTGGGACCCACGCCCGTCGCGCCCCCCCGCGCCGTCACACGGCGAGGACGCGGCTGCGACCTCCGCCAGTCCACGCCGGGCTCCAGCGCCAGAGACGCCCCAGCCCCGTCCTCTCGCGTATCAAACGCCTCGCTCCACAGCAGCCCCCGCACAGGGTCAAACCCGCGCAGTCTCTTGTACTGGTAGTCCAGCACTATAAAAAGGACATTCAACATGCTCAGCAGCGACAAGGTCAGGAAGGGAGCCTGCTTCGCCGACGCGGGGCAGGCCAGATCCACCACGCGCATAAGCCACGCTTGGCGGTCATGCTCTTGTAGCTGCATGCAGTACGCGTAGTGCACGGTGGAAAAGAACGAGAGCAGCAGCGCGTTCAGAAGAACGATCGTGACGGTCGACCCGTACGTCAGGCTCAACCCCCAATCACGCTTCTTCTTGTGGACGTACAGGACGATGAGCGTCGTCGCGCAGAATGTGGGGAAGAAAACAGTGGCCTCCGTGGCCTCATCGCCCACGCCCAACGACGGAACTGACGGCCGCCTGGAGAAGAGAAAAAGCGGACCAACGTGGAAGACAAGCACAACGATGCCAAACCACGCCTGGAGCACCTTCGTGAGCTGCGCGTACCAGTCCGTCCGGCAGTTGCTGTGAACACGAAACGGCGCATGGAACAAATACATCCACAGGAAAAATATTACGTACGCGATCGTCCATTTTACGTCCGGTTGGACAAGCTGCAGGTAGGACCCCAGAGTGTCCGTGCACGCTTCCAAGACTCCGTCGAAAAATGACATGCTATCATGCAAAAACAACACTAACGGACCAGCCAGCACAAGAGAACAGAGAAGGGGCAGGGTGGATAGAGGCCAGAGACACTCACTCTCTCTCCCACACACACACACGCCGCACCTCACTCCCATCACCGGCAAAAAAAACGCCACGGCACCGAGTGCGGCGTGGCTGAGCGGTGGCTCTTGGGCGCCTTAATTGGGACGGTCCCGCGCGAGGCAAGGCGAGGCATCCCACTCAACGGGCCCTTGCGGGGCAGAGCCAAGCGGCAAGGGAGGGGAAAAGAGAAGGGGGCAGGGAGGCGCACCTCATGGGGATGTTCTGCTGCATCAGTTCGAGTGCACGCTGCACACGTCGGTGGAGGACAAGTACATCCGGTGTCTAATCACTGCGCGGCTGCAGGGCCCGCTCGCACAGCGGCAGGCGAAGAAAGGCGCGACGAGGCGACTACACCTGACGGGGGGCGGGAAGAAGGGGCGGCTGGCAGCACACAGGACAGGCGGCGGGGGCGCCGCGAC